TTAATGGTTATTTAATTAAGATCTTTATCTTGGTTAAATATTAAAAAGTTCAACGATGATTTGCAAGACAGGATGAGTTACTTTAATGATATTTAACTGAAACACACACATTTCCCAAAGGTGCTTTTGGGGCAATTAAGGAAAAATGTTTAGACCCTATCTCAAAAGTCCTCATGCTTTTGTGTTCATCGAAATATTGTTTAAAGAACACCAGTATTATTCCTTTGATCTATTCCAGAGAGCTTTCTGGAAGTGATCGGGGACATAATCTAACTTTCTGTACACTCAGCTGATTCTGATATTCAGCAGCCTCAGTAATTATATATCTTTCAAAGTTAAAGTGTCTTTAGTGCAACATTTTCCATTTGTGTTTTGCATTTTCTTTTCTGAGCTCGAGTGGAGGAATAACCTTTTTAAATGTCAGCTTTATAGACAAAATTCACTTCTGCTCTGAGTCCTGAAAGTCGTCTCAACACTTTGTTCATGTCTTCCAGAGTGACTCCACTTTGTATTATTCTGTCATGTGTGACGGCCCTGTTAAGGTAAGTAACGTTTAATAATCACAGCATTCAGTAGCTTCACAAAACAAAATACTTAAAATAATATACTTTACCTTTGCAGTACAACAACTCGCGCACAGTGAAAATCACCGACATCAATGACCACAGTCCGGTTTTTGAACAGAAGACCTACAACATTGACGTCTCTGAGGTAAGTCGCTGAAATCTACAAGCTGTTGACAGGCGGCCAAAAGTACTGTATTTAAATCATTCAAATTAGTTTAAAGAGATACAAATAGTAACAAAAACTGTGTTCAGGCTAAAATGACTTATAGGAACAGCAGCTTAAAGCTTTGTGCAATAGAGTGGTGCAGTGACAAGTCCTAAAACCCGGAAGTGAGTTAGCATTTTACCACTACGGGTTCCCTCGTCTCAGAGCCAATGGGATCTCTCCATAGGATTTTGGAGATTAGCTGGAAATAAGGTCTGTGGTTGAGACACATTGAAGAGACGGATCACGTTTGTTTCTACAACATTAAATACATCAGCAGTGACCCCACTGGTGATTCCACTGGTGTCTGAAAAACGATGGTTGTTACCAAGTGGCTGAATAGGACTACAGAAGTTGTGGAGGCCGTTGTACGTCATTACGCCGAACACGTAAACACTGCTCTAAGTTTGTTTGTCCCTGTTCTGCTTGAGAGAAAGTACCTGCCTCCTGCAAACAACCTGCTTCAACTTGTACCATTTAGAATCTGTATGTTTGAATATCGATCTTAAGTTGGCGTCACGTTGAAGTCGTGCGACCCTGCTGTAGTTCGTTTATAGCATAACGTTAGCATTTTGCTTCTGGCCATTAGATTTACGATTAGAAAATTATAAAAGTAGGGTAGACATGTGGAGATTATCCGACTGAACAACGTGATCCGTCTCTTAAATGTGTGTCAACCAACCACAGACCTTATTTCCAGCTATTTTCCAAAATCCTATGGAGAAATTGCATTGCGTTTTTGTCCAGGGAACCCATGCACAGATTACTTCCGGGTAAATACGTCATCCCTGCACCACTCTATACCACCGCTCATGTCCAATATGAACTCACGTGCAATTTACGTTTCATATTTCTTGCTTTGAATTTATTTTCAATTTTAAACATTACCAGCTACTTCAATATTTTCATATGGTCACATTTTTAGAAAGAAATACTGCTACTTGTGTTTTACCATGGTGTTCTTATCTGTTATTTGTTATTACTTATTGTGTTCTTCTTATTAATATGTGCTTAGTTTTTTATATAATATGTAAGTGTATTCTTTTTACTTTAATCTGCATCGTACCTTTGCTGTTATAATGTCGTACATTTCCCCGTTGCGGGACAAATATCTGATTCTGATGCTTTTCTCTTTTTTAGATCAAAGAAGTGGACAGCGTGGTTGTCCAAGTTAGGGCTACAGATGGAGACAGCACTACAGCAAACAACTTAGTGACATACTCCTACGTAATAATAATATAATCATTATAATGATAAACTCATATTTTAATTATTTTATTTACACATGTAACAAGAGTAGAGTAGCTTAAGAATTGTTTTGATGCACTGTGGCTGAGAGCAGATGTATGAAGATGTTTTTTTGGCTATTTGGTTTGTATGATTCTAACATGAATCCTAATGGTTAAAAAAATGTATTTGGTCATTTTGTCAAAGTGTGACTGCCTTTCATTTAACTCACAAACAGTGATTGATTCTTACGACAAAAAGTGACCAGACTGCCAACATTATGATGCTTATTTTATTGTCTTGAATGTTTAAGTCTCAAAATCACGTGTCATGATGTGTAACAAAAATCTGTGAATGTTGTTTTCTTTTCATAAGGCACCAACCTCAGAAGACTTTAGTTTGTTGAGCTCAGGGGATTTTATTTTGAAGAGACGTTTAAACTACAATTTAGTCCAGAACTACAGCTTCCTTGTGACGGCCCGGGTAAGTGAACATATTTGCAACTTTAAACAGAATTATTTAAAAAGCCAAGGGGACATGAGTACCTGACTGATCTGTGTTCTCTGCAGGATAACTGGGGTCTAAACGACACGGCCCCTGTGACGATTAACGTAGAGGACTTTGATAACTTGAATCCCTTCTTCAGCTACAACGTGTACCAGGCCTTCATTAAAGAGAATCGGGTGAGTCTGTTTAAGAGGCCCTTTTGTGCTTTTGGGTTTCCCCTTTCCTGTAGCGTGTTGTTGTGTGTATAGGTTTTTGTTGCATGTAAATTGCCTGCAAAGGTTAAAATCCAAGAGTTCCCTCCAGAGGCAGTTTCTCTGTCACAGTAGAGCAGGGGTGTCAAACTCAATTTCATCGAGGACCACATCAGCATTATGGTTGCACTCAAAGGGCCGGTTGTAACTTTAAGACTTTATAAATATACATATATAAATATTTAATATATATGAAATAATGTATTATATATTACATTATTGCCTCTGCATTGGATTAATTTCAGATAGGGTAATAACTTCATAATGAACTACGTCTGAAAGCAGAAGTCTAGGGCAAATAATTGCAAGTCTCTTCAGTGAGAATGTCACAAAATGATTTAAAAAGAAAAGCCAAATTATAAAAAGATCAAAATCCAAAAAGAAAAGTGACATTTTGAAAAAAAAGAACAATTCTGAGGAAAAGGCAAATTCTAAGAAAAAGGCATAAAAAATCAAATTCTGAGAAAAAGGCATATTTTGAAGAAAAAACAGCCAAATTCTGAGAAAAAAGGCATATCTGAGATGCATTGTGGGACATGTAGTTTATGGGCAACGTGCTTCTGTAAAGCGGCATGTAACCGTATAATGAACGTATTATATTCTTTGCAAGCTCTTGTGGGGCCACAGAAAATGAAGTCACGGGCCGGATTTGGCCCCCGGGCCTTGAGTTTGACACCGCTGGCACAAAATACCAATATGGACTTGAAAATGAGCATAATGTGTCCCCTTTAACCTATACAATATAATGCAAAACAACATATCTGATGCACTTGATTATTGACCTATTATTGGAGCTGAAGTTGAACCTTTTAGAACTGAACATTGAAAAGTAATTGAATATAAAAAATGAATATAAAATATATAGTATAATATAATTGAAACACATCCTAACCACAATGTAGATCACAGCCAAAATGATTTGAAAATTAAAAAGCAAGTAATGTTTGCATTGATGCATACGGGTTGAACCCAAAACATTTCTCTCTTTGCAATGCCAGCCAACAATAAATACTAAAATAATATACAGTCAATAGTGATGAGGTTGTTGCTATTATTCTAAGATAATGTTGGTACATGTAGATTAAAGTGTAAATGTAACATCTCTGCTCATGAAATAGTATATCTGGATTTTTCTAAAATGTCACTGCTGAATGTTGCTTTTCAATTTGATTTGGAGATTTTTTTTAATTAAAAACCCTTTCATATTACATATTTCAGGATGGGCATTTCCAGACCATTGAGCCGGCGGCGATAGAAGCTAAGGACGGAGACAAAGGGATAATGATTGCTTTAACTTACAGCATCAGTGCAGGTAAACGAAAAGAAAGAAAATAACTGCTCAGACTTTTTTGAGACAGAAACACCAAATATTTAACATTGTGTTTGTTTGTTTAGTGTCTCCAGACAAGTATCGGAGTAACTTCAACATCGACTCCAGCAGTGGGGTTGTGTCTGTGACGACTGCTTTAGACAGAGAGGAAATGGACGTCAGTGTGATCGACGTCAGCATCAAGGTACTGAAACCTATCTTTGGTCCTTCATGGACGATATTGTAAAAAGAAAATCTAATCCCAGTCATGTAGCACTTTTAAATGAAATTAAAATACAAATTTCAAATATTGTTGTCATTATTCTGCATCCAAAGAATATTGTGGAGTTCCTCAAGGTTCAGTTTTAGGTCCCTTTGGTTTTTCTATTTGCAAAATATATCTCTGAAACTTTAACGTTTGGTTTCTCACGTAGGATAATGTGAGAATTTAACATAAACATAACACATTTGCTGCTTTTTTCTTCTAAGTTGCATCGATGCTTACATACAGAAGTTGAGTATCCAATATATGATATGGGTCAAAGGCTGGTAACATCTGTGGAATTCGTTCTTGTTTCTTTGTGATTTGCAGCACCAAGAGCTCGGTAGCAACATAAATAAATAGCTAAAAACAAGCAGCTAGCTAATTGGCTTAAAGACAATATTACAGCAAACTGAAACACACACAAACATGCAACATTATACACATAACATTTGCAAATCTACACGTTTACATGTTCTACTGTATCTGCACACTGATAATATTATGTATTTTGTGTCATTGTATCATTTGAATGTACTTGTGTTGTTAATTTTGTTGCTGAAATATCAAGAAGCCAAACTGAAAGCCAGAGTTTTATTCCCTTTTTCTTATTACTTCATTGTAATATAGCTGTATTTTAAATGCTGAGGACAGGGCTACACTAGCATTCCCTGCATTGCAATGTTTAATTAGCAAGTAGAGAACTGTGTTACACATAATGAGCTACGAGAATAACTCTTGTAAGCTATTGTCGGTATTGTGGGTTCACAAAAATGTTACATATCCAATTTTCTATTTGAATGTACATGCTTGCAAAGAATATCTTTAAAATTAATACAGTTGAATGAATGCTAATGACTCTGCCCCTTTATGCTTACCCATCCTTAAATGTTAAAAGATGATGTTAAATCACACACACGTGTAAAAGAATGCAGTCACAGCAATTCAACACATGGCTTTCATCTGGCTTTCAACAGATCACAGTTCATATACAGAATACAGAATACAAAACTTCCTAATGAATGTTTATCTGTAATATTGTCTCTCTGCAGGCGGCCCAGACAGACGACATTTTGAAGACGGCTGCCGCTTTGGTGACCGTCAGTGTCGAGGATGTGAATGATAATCTTCCAGAGTTTGACCAGCCCAGCTACTCTGTAACTCTTCTGGAAAACTCTCCTGTGGATGCTGTTCTGTTCAAACCCGTCGTCACCGACCTGGACGAGGTGGATTTTTTTTTTAAATACTGTATATCTTTGTGAAATTCTCAATAATTCCTCATTAAGTCATTTATTCAATGATGCTCTTTCCACAGGGAGGATTTGTGGGAACTTTGCGGATCGTTCCAGATTCTGCTCCTTTCTCTGTCGGTGCTGATGGGACGGTCAGAGTGAAGAACTCCACAGTTCTGGACCGAGAGACCACTGAACTATTCACATTTCAGGTAATCCATTTTTGGAGGTATTTACCATTAGCTCCAAACTATCAGGTTCCTACCAAAGACATACTTGATTTTTTTTTAAGTTCATAAATATTAGGGATTTTTTTACTTTTCACCATTGACATACCAGTTTTGATGCAAAATACTACTGTTGTGTCAGTTTTTTAAACAAAATATGTTTGTAAAAAGTAAATGACTGCCAGAATGATATTCAATTTGTGCTCTAGTGAGCATTTGGGCCAGCAGGACAGCGTATGTGGGATTGAGTCAAAATAAACAATTGTGTGCGCTTGTCCATGGTTCAAGTTCTCCCAGAGCAAAAATCAATCAATATTGAATTTAATTTAAAAAAATGAAAGAAACCCAAGAGAGCAACAGAGGAGGGATCGCTCTGCCAGGACGTAATAGGTGTTGTGTGTATACATAAAAAGAAAAAAAGATAATCTAGTACGACATAGACTAAATGCCAAAAAAGATCATTTGAAGGTATATTAAATAAAAGAGACTGTGAGGCTCATTGATGTCCTTCGAATAGCAGTTTGACAATTATTGTTTTCTTAGTTGATACATTTATTGATCGTTTTAGTCTAAAACAAAACCCTTAAATATCACAATACTTGCTCTTTTAGAACTATTTAAAAATGGTGGGAAACAAACAGTGTTGCTTTGTGATTGGCTGCCACAAAATGCCACTAGCTACAGTAGTATGTGTGGGGGAAACTTCTGAAGCAATTGGAAACAGGACGAGACACGAGGAGAGCTGGAGCTTTGATGGCAAACACTGACGGTTTATTTGGAGCTTCGGCCGAATAATTCACAACCTTCCTCTGGTAGGAGGTGTTAACTAGATTGCTTAGGGTAATCAACATTCTTCAATAGTTAGACTAAACAGCTGAGGACACTGAATCAACTTTAGTTGTCGCTTATGGCTCGGGGTCATCTACACCCCGAGAAGGATGTGTTCCAGGTGTCCCACAACAATAACTATCTCTGACCGAGAGTTGCCCGGTCACAAACTGGTAACAACAACAAAATGCTAGGGCAGCCCCTCCTTAAGGGAGATAGTGGCTGTCCAAGGCTGGGCATCTGCGTCAGAGGGCGAAGGAGGACATGCAGGGCAAATGATTCCCTGACAGTATGGAAAACAGACAGGGCTGCATCTGTTTACATTCTGTGCTTTACTTTGCTTTTCTTTTGTTATTAACAGATTGAAGCAAGGGAGGCCAATCCCCCCCACAATAATGTAACGGTGCAAGTCAGTGTGACTCTTCTGGACGAGAACGACAACAGTCCTGTGTTCACCAGTAACACTTACGAGGGAAAGGTGTATGCAAATCAAACAGAGGGAATGTCGCTGGTCCAGGTGAGTGATTACACAGTTATTCATCTGGTTAACATTTTAGGTTATGTTTCATCTACCATTCAGATATTTGTGTTTCAGTGTTAAGCATGTGACCTGCTACCATGTCCATCCCCTTAACTTATATCAGCAACAGTCTTGTTTTTATGCATTTAAAGATAGTTCTCATGGCTCATTTTGACATAATTGACAAATATCAATCTCACGTTTGTTAAATGGCAAGCTTTAAAGGTTATATATGATACTCTGATTGAAGTATTGTAAAATAAGATAAAAAAGAGAGTTACATTTCAATTAAGAAATACATAAAATTACAAATTGAAAATCATATTTGAAGGTGGTTTGCCAGAAAAATAATATGGAGTTCCTCAAGGTTCAATTTGAGGCCCCTTTCTTTTTCCATTTGCCATACATTTGATGGTTATATCTGCCATTCACGGCTAAAACTTCTATAACTAACCCTGACTTTTTACAACTTAATGTCACAAAGTGTAACATCGGTAGTTTTAACCTGGCCCGTAATTTCCCATGTTTTTTATCAACAATTTTTGTAATTGCTCCAGTATTAAGCGAAGAACCAGCAGCTGCAAATTGGACTGCAATGTTAGAATTTAGACTATAAAACACTAATGTAACCCTTCATGTAATTACCAAATGCTCCACATAATTATTTGATTAGTCTAATAGTCTTCCTTTAGTCTAGTTATCGCATTATTGTTTAAAACTTCCCTTTGCTCCATCTTTAACTTTGAAATTGTTATAGTTATAAGATTGTAGCTTTTTTCTGTTGTCATTTCTTTCTGTTGATATGTGTTGCTCTGTCATTCCCAGTTGACTCTCAGAGGCTAATTGGTATTATTTATCTCAAAGGTTAAGGCAGAAGATCTAGATGCCGACAAGAACGGGCAGATCAAATACTCGATTGAATTTGGGAACGACGACGGCTACTTCTCAATCGATGAAAACAGTGGAAACATCGCGCTGGCTAAAACCATTCCCCTGGAGGAAAACGTGCTTTTGGAGTTCCCTCTCTTCATAACAGCCAGAGATGGTACATCTAAACAATATCTCTCTGAGTATCCAGCACTTTCACGCTTTCTGATTGTGATGATTTAGCCTGTTAGGGTTAAAGAGATAATCAGACCAAAATCACAACCTTTGAAGCTACAAGTACGATTTGTTTGTATTTGTGTGGCTCAAAGCATTAATCCTACTGTGAACATCAATGTCCTTCAAATTAAGTTTCTGTTGTTTTCCTGTGGTCTGAATCTTTCAATGACTCATTTGAATTACACTATCTTCTTGGACTTTGGCTGTATAAAAGTCCTGGTGATTATAAAATATATCTATCACAACTTAGACACATGGGTGATCTCAGTCACATAGTGTACCTTGATTAACTACCCTACGCAGTTGCATCTTTCAAAAAGGCTTTATTTACTTTATTGTGCTTTTCCATTTACTTAGGCTTTACATCAAATTCCAAGCTGGCGTCTGAAGACACGTACCGCAAATTATTTATTGGGATTTGAAGTTTTTGGAGTGGAGTTTCACACAGCAGCATTTCAAAAGGCTTCACGGTGTGATTAAACACATAGACATAACATCCTTAAATAAAGGACAAATAAAATATAATAAAATCCATTCTGAAGGCAGTATGCTTAAACCTCACTGGTTGCCGTATAGCTGAGCCCCGCCTGGAAAGCTTTTATCCTGTGGATGAATCAGAGGGAGCTACGTCCAACTTTTTTTATTTTTATGCCACACTCAATATAATAAGTCTGATAATCTTCCCCACTTGTCTTATAGGCGGCACGATATCCCGCTCCTCCTCAGCTAGGGTGAGCATTCGTGCTCCTGGTGACTCCAAACCTCAGTTTTTACAAAAACTGTACCGTGGCACCGTAGAAGAAGAGCAGGAGCCAGGAGTTGTTATTCTTACGGTAAGTTGTTAATGTATATCGAGAAATTTGCTCTGGAGGGAACACAGGGATTTTAGCCTTTGCAGACCATTTGCATTCACAACAACCTATATCACAAACTACAGGAAAGGGAAACCCCCAAAGGTATAATAGTGCCTCTTTAAAGAAGTTAGTGACAAATCATTGTTCCTGTTCTTCCTGTTTGTGTACTCAGGTTAACTTCCTCGCACTATCTGCTGAGCGTCCCCCGACTCTCACGGTCGACACAGAAACCGACAAGTTCACCATCTCCAACAGTGGTGAATTCTCCACTAAAGTGAAGCTAGACTACGACGAGGCTCCACACAACTACACTGTAACGATCTCCATCTCTGACGGATCTCACAGCGACAGTGCCGTGGTGGTAGTTCAAGTCACAGACGTCAATGATAACGGTCCTGTTTTCACCTCGAGTTCTGTCACAAAATCAGTCCCAGAGGACGCAGAGCTAGGATCCAACGTTACTGTTGTTCCGGCTACAGACAAAGACAGCAGCTTCAACAAGGAGATCAGATACTCCCTGAGAGGAGGAGAGGGGCGGTTCTCTGTGGACGCTGTTTCTGGCATGGTGAGTGTTGCTGCTTCACTTGACAGGGAGACTAAGGCTGAGTACGAGCTGCTGGTGGTGGCTGAAGATCAGGGTCGTCCAGTCCGCTCCGCCTCAGCCTCCCTGCTGATTGAAGTCACCGACATCAACGATCACATCCCAAAGTTCTCACAGTCTGAGTATCAAGCTGAAGTCCTGGAGACAGAGTCAGTGGGTTCAATCCTGCTAAGTGTATCAGCTTCAGACCCTGATGAAGAAGCAAATGGAAGAGTTACTTACAGTGTTTTCCAGCAGAGTCCTTCGTCAGATACTCCTGTGTTTGCGTTGGACTCTTCCTCTGGGACTCTGCGTCTGCTCCAACCTCTGGACTACAGCCTGGTGAAGGAGTACAGGCTGGTGGTTCAGGCCTCTGATGGCGGGACTCCCTCTCTGGTAGGGAACGGCTCTGTGGTGCTGAAGGTGAAGGACGTGAACAACAACCCTCCTGAGTTCAGTAAGGAAAGATACGATGTGACCGTCTCTGAGAACCTGGCTGGGGGTTCGTCCATCCTGAGCCTGGAGGTCACTGACAGAGATGAGGTGAGTCAAATAACAAAACTATGATTTGGTATATTGCACGCTCTATAAGATCATACTCCTTGTGTTTAGTTGTGTTCTGACTGAAAAAGACAGACTGTACTTCTTAACAATGAGTACAGTTGCAGGTCATTTCTGCTTTATTTTTTACCTTAGCTTCTGACTTCAACACTTGAATTAATTAAATACAAAATAAAAAGCTGATAATGATATTGTATTACCATTTTTTCTTAAAGTGAATTTGGCAATAATAATAAAACAACAGAATGTAATGTAAAAAAGAAAGAAATAACTTGAAATGTATGCTACTTTGGGAAAGATTGGAGAAAATGCTAACGTCAGAGCGCTACCTGCACTGCAAACAAGTTTAGTTTGAGGTGATCTTGGGAAAACAATACAATTATCTGTATGTGTATATTCCAAGGCACTCCCTTTTTAAACAATTGTATGCCTTGTGACTCTGATAAACAAGAATGTGCCTTTAAAAACATTACTCCACAGCACTATAACACAATACTTCGCAGGGTGTCATCAATCTTAGCTCTTGTCTTGTCTCCTATTTCCACAATGACATGCTCGCCTTAAATATGAAGAATGAACCTCTCCTCTGAATCCAATTATTGTTCAAATACATCTGAAAATAATGTCTCTCTTTGTTAATTTCCAAATTTGTTTCCAAAGCATTCGTCTCATATTCTTTTCAGCTTCCTTCGATCTGGGAGCGTGGAAATAATCAAATTAAATACACAATTCCAAACAATGGATTTGTAGTTTGTCTGATCTGCTTGGTGAAAGAGATCCAGTTATATTTGTATTTTTAGTAGCAGTTCCTTTATCTTAAAGCTTTAACCACTTAACAGTTTGGACCTCAGCACTTCTGCTTCACACTGACGTCATTCATAAAGACTATCCCTGATTATTCTGCATGTTACTTCAGATAAGAACCTGCTGCTATGTCAGAGCTTGCGATTACCTTTGGCTATGAAGTCAGCGTAGTTATTCAACACACGTCTCTTCTTCTTCAGGGCGGATTCTCTGACGGTTACTTCATCTATAACAACGATACCTTCGACATCAACAATCAAGGTGTGGTCTCCCTGAGGAAGGACGTCACTTTGGACAGAGAGACAAAAGACAGCTACATTTTACAGGTACAAAAACAAAACAAATATAAATACTGTGGGGGAAACTTCTGAAGCAATTGGGAGTCAGGACTCAAAGAGAGACACGAAGGAGAGCTGGAGCTTTGATGGCAAACACTGACGGTTTATTTGGAGCTTCGGCCAGAGAATTCACAAGACATGTCACAGGCCACGGTCTGACCACATGGTTGAGATGCCACAATCAATTCTGAAGACCCCTCCTGTAGCTCCAGGTTTTAACTAGTTCAGAGTGTGATAATCAACATCCTTCAATAGATAGACTAAACAGCTGAGGACACTGAATCACATTAGTTGTCGCTTATGGCTCGGGGTCATCTACACCCCGAGAAGGATGTGTTCCAGGTGTCCCACAACAATAACTATCTCTCACCGAGAGTTGCCCGGTCACAAACTGGAAACAACAAAATGCTAGGGCAGCCCCTCCTTAAGGGAGATGACGGCTGCTCAAGGTTGGTCAGCTGCGTCAGAGGGTGAAGGAGGACACTAGGGAAAATGATTCCCTAACAAATACAGTATGTCCAGTTCTCCAAAACATCTTCAATGGTACCACAACAAATTGTCTGATACATATACATGTATTTGTTGCATATCTTGGTATTGATTGTGTTAACAAAAATAGTTTACAACACTATGGCGATATTTTGATTTCCTAAACTTCAATTAAGACGAACATTTCATTGATAATGGAAAGAAAGTCTCCCAAAAATAAATATCTACTTTAGACAGTATTAGAGGTAGAACATATAGCAAATCATTTCACAAGGGAAAAACATGTTGTGACTTTCAGTCTCACTGTATCCTAACAGTTTGCTCCCTGTTTTCTTCACAATTACTTTCATTAAGATTTGGAAAATATTTGTGAATGTAACTTTAACCTATTTGGTTTCTCATAATAATATCTTAACAATTCACACAATATGTTTGCAGTGTATTCACAGCCCTGCACAATAAGAGCAAAATAACCACAATAAATACATTTAAAGTAAATAACAAAAGTATTTCTGTACCATCTGATAACAGCGTGGTATAGTTTTTATTTATTTGTAATGGATAAAAAAGATCAGGGAAGAGAGTTTTCTCAGCTGACTTCAGGTGGGCTGTGGCTCAGGAGGAAGATGGTCCTATACCATCAAAAATATACTGGTTTAATTCCCAGCCCCTTCTGTCAATGTGTCCTTGGGCAAAACTTAACCCCAAATTACACATATTCAATTTTCAAGGCTTTATTGTGAAGTGCACATTAGGCACAGTGTAGGTATGACAATGAAAAGCGTAGGTCACAGGCGCCTCCAGCAGTGCAACATATATATAGGACATGGAACAATTAAAACAGATACAAATACAGAACAGTGTGTGAGTGTGTATGAATTTGAGTTTCCCCGAGCAGGTGACACCTTGTATGACAGCCCTTGCCTCTGTGTGAAAGTGTGAATGGGTGAATGCTGACTTGTAAATGTAGAAGGGTCGCAGAGAGCGTGAAAGCGCTATATAGATAGATAGACACCTAGTTTCCGTTCCGGCTATGATACATTTTGATTTGATTTGATTTACCATGATGTTCTGTGTGTGTTTCCAGGTGGTGGCAGTGGATCAGCTGGTTGACGGGCTCAGAGCCACGGCTCAGCTCAACATCTCCGTCCTCGACTACAACGACAACGCCCCGCAGTTCCCGATCATCCCCGACCCCCTGCTGGTCCCGGAGGGCGACTACTCCGAGAAAAACCCTGCAGAAATTCTCATGATCGTGCCCACAGACGCCGACCTCGGCCCCAACGGAGAAGTCACCCTCTCCCTCGCCTCCCCTCACCCACTGTTCAGATTCAGAGAGGTGAGGCCATGAGAGAGAGGATTGGGGAAATACTGTTGTGTCAGCGCTCAGGTTCTAACATCATGTGTGGTGTTGCACAGAGGTGGAAGAAATACTCAGAACTTGTACTTGAGTAAAAGTAGAAGTACCAGAGTGTAGGAATACTCTGTTACAGTAAAAGTCCTGCATTCAAAGTGTTCCTCAAGTAAAGTAGAAAAGTATTTTAATCAAAATATAGTTAAGTAGCGACAGTAAAAGTAGTCATTGTGCAGATTGGTCCATTTCAGAATAATATATATGATATGTTTTATAATGATTGATCATTAAAGTGTTCTCAAAGCTGGTAAAGGAGCAGCTAGTTTGAATGACTTTGTATACTGCAGGGTAGCTTGTGGATTTACTCCAGGTGGAACTAAAGTCTGATTTAACACTTGATTATATTTCACATCATTCATCCACATCTGTAAAGTAACTAAAGGTATTAAATACATGTAGTGGAGGAAAAGTACACCATTTACCTCTGAACTGAAGTGGAGTAGAAGTACAACGTAGCATACAATGGAAATACTCAACAAGTACCTACAAAAAAAACGTACAGTACTTGAGTAAATGTACTTAGTAACTTCCCAGCTCTGGTGTTGTTTCAGGACGGGATGCTGCTGGCTGTCGGACCTCTGGATCGGGAGAGCAAGGAAACATATGAGCTGGTGGTGAAGGCCTCAGATAACGGCAGCCCTCAGAGAGAGGTAGGAGACGAAGAAGAGAGAACCATTTCACATTTGTTTTCTGACAGCACTGCACAAGGAAAAAAGATTCTTTGAAGAAATGAATGTTCTTCTGCCTCCTCCTGTGCTTCTCATGGCATTTGCAAAACTCTCAACACCCGGATGAAAACAACCAATAAGGGACAAGTTCTGATTGGTTGTTTTCTCATAAATTCAGCACTTTTATTTATTTATTCGTATCAGTCTCATGCACATCTGTAAGGATATAGTGACAAGCTTAAAAATCAAATATGATATAATGTATTTTGAACAAAGTTGCTAACTGTCGTTTAATCAGGTATAGTATGACACCTGGCAAAGAAGAGGAAACTATAAATATATATATCGATATCATCTAAATTGTAATCGATTATACCAAACACAAAGACTATTTAAAGATTGAGATATAACAATCCTAACCTCCTTTACTGACTTCTGTGCACCAGAACATCACCACCATCAGAGTGAGCCTCGTGGACGTCAACGACAACAGACCTGAGTTCAGCTCCAGCAGCTTCGTCAGCAGCGTCCTGCTCAAAGACGCCGAGGAGGGCAAAGCTGCTGCTGACGCGTGTCCGCCTCCGACAGAGACCAAGGGAACAACTCGCTCATCAGATACAGGTCAGATCAGCTGACTCACTCTGCTTTCAATACAAGGTCTGCTTTGAAATGTCAATAACTCATGATGGTGGAACATGGAGTGTTTTCATCTCGGTGCAATTCACGTCTATAAAATACGATACGATATTACTTTATTGGTCAGATCAAGTCTGAAATGTGACTTGCATCCCAGCAGCTCCATGTGTAACGTCACATCAGCTGGAATCAGCTCTGTGTTTACTGAGAGGATTGACTGGAGCACTAAAGGATGCTTCAGTCTGACTTATAGTGATCTCGCATTAGAGGGTAGCAGTTCATATTCTTTGGGTCCCAGATGACCTGAAAATGTTTCTGCATGAACTCCTGTTTCTAAGAACTGATCATTTATGAGTTTAATTGCCACAAACTGGACTCTTTTACAAAGCTGTTCTCAAGCTCTTGAAATGACCAGTGTGGTCTGTATAATCTCCTAGCTTTTTCTATGGTTCTCTGTTGTAGTTTCTCAAGAGGGAAGTTCTCCATATCTGGCGCTGAACAGTGAGACCGGGGCCGTGACCTGGAACTCTGACTTGCTAATGTGACGGAGGACACCACGCTCGTGCTGAAGGCCGTGGCGACAGACCAGGGCCGACCCCCGCTGAACTCCACCGGTCAGTGTGATGTCATCATGTGACTCAACCTCCACTTTCCACAACTCTCACTTTTAAGTTCTGGTTGAGCTTCAACTTCAGGAGTTTATTTATTATTTCATATATAATATAAGTTTAAAATGGGGGAGAAGGTTTAAGAAGAAGTCGCAATAATATTATATATAGTATAAAATATATAAAATAATGAATGTATATATATTTTTTACAATAGTTCAGGGGTGTCAAACTCAAGGCCCGGAATATAATGTTTATTATATGGTTACATGTCGCTTTACAGAAGCACGTTGCCCATAGACTACATGTCCCACAATGCATCTCAAATTTTACTTTTTTTCTTAGAATTTGCCTTTTTTTTTCAAAACGTCACTTGTTTTTCTTGAGAATTTGGCTTTTCTTTTAAAATCATTTTGTGACATGCGCACTGAAGAGACTTGCAATTATTTGCCCTAGACTTCTGCTTTCAGACGTAGTTAATTATGAAGTTATTACCCTATCCGATAATAATCCAATGCAGAGGGCAATCATGTTAATATAATACATTATTTTATATATATTATATATTTATATATGTATTTATATATTATAGTCTTAAAGTTACAACCGGCCCTTTGAGTGCAACCATAATGCGAATGTGGCCCCCGATGACATTGAGTTTGACCCCCCTGTATTAGACTGTTAATGAACAATGTACAGCTGTCAGGTTTTTTAATAACTAACACAAACATGATAAGCAAGCACAAAGGTTTCATTTAACAGGAATGACTGATTATGCAGCTACTAAAGAAGTCATACTTTTTTAAATACTTTTATTTAGAATTTTTCTTTTAGTGACAATAAACAAAAGACAGTCATACATTTGAATTAAAAAGGATTTATTATTCGCCCTAAAATCAGTTTAATTCTAATCAAGCCGCTCGTGTTTTGCTTTGAGACTTGAACGAATAGAAAACCCTTTTGTAATAATAATAATATAATAATAATAATAATAATGGGTTCCATTTATAAAGCACTTCATATTGATTTCAAATCCCGAAGTGCTTTTGTCGTATTTTCTTGCATGAAGCTAGCAGCTTGTTGTCCGATAGTTGATTGTTACGTTAACTAACTTCTGTATTGGTGTGTCTTGCAGCCGATGTGGTGGTGGAACCTGAGGGTCGCCAGCCTGACGGAGGGCGTGGCCTTCCTCAGCTCCTCCTACAACTTCAGCCTCCATGAGAACCAGCCGGCGGGGGGGGAGGTGGGGGAGGGTCACCGCCGCCTCAGGAAGTCCCATTTACGACGTGATTTACTCACTGAAGACACACTCAGACCTGTTCTCCATCAACGCCAGCGGAGCCATCCTGAGCCGAACACAGCTGGACCGAGAGGAGCAGGACTGGTACATCCTGGACGTGGAGGCAGTGGACACACGCTCCCCCCCCTACGTCTGCCATTGCAATGGTACGGTCCGTTTTCTCACTCGTATTGATCACATAGACCTGTGCTGAATATTCAGGTTTACTCAGGAAACCATAACCTGCAGTACATTTTATATATACAGTTCATATGAACTCTTATACGCTATACTCCTTTGCAGTTCTGAAATGTAACCATGTACATTACTCCGTTTTGTCACTCATATTCTCACATATACCTTTACTGAATATTCAGGTGATAGTGATTACTGAAGACACTCCTTTGCAGTTGTGAAATGTAACCAAGTACATTTACTCACGTACAGTGTTAAAGTACACATTACTTACATTTAGCATTTAGCTGGCGCTTTTATCTGAAGCCACTTACAATAAGTGCAATAAACCATGAGGATACAAACTAATCAGCGCTGACATATTTACTTCAACAAGCCAGACCATTGCTACGTGTTGGTGCATAAGTGAAACTCTTAGTGCTTTCTTTTCACATTTTAGGTACTTTAATTTGATGCCACCATTGTTGGACTTCACTTATTCTCAAATTACATTATTTTTTACTTTTTATTATAATAATTAGACATTGGTTTTTGCATTTGATGAGCTTAAAAACATGATTTGTTATAAATGAATCATCCAACAGTTGTCAGAGTACAGCAGTAACAGTTTGTCCATCAAGCAATCAGGGAATTGATGGGAAATGAATTGTATTTGTAAAAACCAGCTTCACAAATATGAAGACATAGGGCTTTTCAATTGTAATAATTGAGTGTTAATGTTGAGTTTTGGACGAAACAAACAGCTGAAGGTGTCACTTTGGGCTCGGGGTAATTCTGACGGAAATGTCCCTTTCTTAATCACTGACACAAAGTAAACAATCAACCGATTAACGGAAAAGATTATCCCTTTTTGTGATTGCTTACTCTACCCACGCATGTACTACTTTGAATTGCATGTCATCAAAAGTGAGTTGCGATCTCAAAATGTGATGCAAAGTTATACAAATATTTATTTTATATATACAGAAATATATTTTTATAAAGGTGGATAAAACCCTCAAAGTTGAAACGTGTTCCCAGAGTTGACTAACCTATTCTAACGAGTATCCAAGTGGTAAAAGTACTCATTTACTTAAGAAAAAGTTAAATACTCTGTTGTCAGTAAAAGTCCAACTTAAAGGTGGGGTAGGTAATTCACTTCAGAAACACTTTTTGTTATATTCCATGGAATGCTCTTAACATCCCGATAGCAATGAATATCTTAAGTGCTTTGACAAAAAATACATAAAAATGTTCATCTGTGGAAGCCGTAGTACTGTAAAAAGCACGACCAATCATCTGAGCCGGCCCGGCTAAAGTAACTGGATGGCCTACCTGCCTGTCAGCCTTCCATCTGTGCACAAACTTATCTCGTGCCCTCATTGGTCATGTGCGCGTTCGTGTGTGTTGGAGGAGGGGCTCTGTAAGGAAGTCTGAAGGAAGGGGCAGATTGTTTTCGGTTGTGTACTTTCAAATTCTAGCGCACTCAAGCTGGTTTCTCCATTCTTACCTACCCTACCTTTAAATAAAGTATGTAGGAAAAACCAGGAAAATGTATTTAAAGTGATAACTGTACAAATAAATATCTGTGAAGATCTCGGGTGTTTGTCAACGGCTTCTAAAAAGAACAAGAAACCTTGTCAGTGTCTTCAGTATTTTGACAGGTTGTGCTCTCTTCCAGGTCAGAGTGGAGGTGGAGGATGTGAACGAGGCTCCACAGTTCTCCTCTGAGGTTTATAAAGCGTCTGTGTTCAGCATCGCCCCGTATAAAACCCCCGTCGTCTACGTCAAGGTAAACACACCCAGCTGCTGTTAGGAAAACATGTCCTGTTCTTCACAGGAGGAAGCTCTCGCTGTAATAAACCGTCAGAGAGCCAGATAAGAGGCTTCGTGTTTCTCCTCGGTGATGACCTTTGAACCGAAACACGGCAGGCTGTAAACTCAGAGAGGTTGATAAGCAGAGATGATGTTTTTATTATTATGTTTTATTGTGCCAATACACATTGTTGCATTTCCCGTCCTGTTCACTTCTCAACACGTCCTTTACCTTAAACGTGTTGTTACTTCGAGATTACAGAAAACAAAGTGCATTCATTTACACACAAACAATCAGGCTGTTGTGTTTTACTATAGAAGTAGTACTACTACAACTTATATATATATATATATATAGTATATATATGACATCTCCTCAAAACATCATCTGTTTCATATGTCATTAAATAATATGGTTACATGACCTTTACTTAACTTAAGAAAAACATTTTCCAACCACATTTCAATCTATTTGATATTGTAAATTCACTTTTTAATACCATATATTGGTCCTGATTGTGATTCTCTACTTTTTCCAGCCCCTTGTTGACCCTAGGACATAAACAGTCACATAGAATAGTTTGCCATAGAAAAGGTCATAAAGTAGAAAAACACTTGGCGGTTTTATGCGTCTGGGAACCGGTCCTGTTGAAGTTGTTTTAAACCTGTCCAACGTTTCATCACTTCATCATTTTACTCAGAATAAGCTTATATAAAACTACAGTAATTAAAATCTAGAGTCTCTGTCTCCCACAACAGTGCTACATACTATACAGTGTACTTGAGACCTAAAAATACACTAACAAGTTCAAGAAGAAATAGATAAATAACTACAAATAGTGCAAGTGAAATGTTGAAATAGATGTCACATATATCAAATAAGATAAGACTTTATTTATCCCGAAAGAAATTCTTGTGCCAGAGTTAAATAAGATACAATAAACATCATAATAATAGGACTAACAATACAACTGTAGACTAACAGTGCAGTAAAGAGAGCAGATTAAACAACAAACTACAAGAAACAAAGATGGACAGGTAATGAAAGTAGAAACTTTACAGTGAGCAGCGGTACAGTTTGTCTAAATATTCATTCATTTTCTCTTCAAGCTGCGGTGTTTTATTCCACTTTCAGTATTTCATTTTTCATTCAGTTCTGAATTAATGTAAAAACGGCGGTACAGGTTTTACATTCATTCACAACTGAATGTTTAATGAAATACTGAAAGTGGAATGAAACACTGCGGATTGAAGAGAAAATGAATTGGTATTCAGGGAAGTGGAGTCTCTTCTGATGTGTGCTGTCTCCCCAGGCGTCGGACCCTGATTTGGGGGAGGGGGCTCAGCTGGTCTACAGTCTGACAGCAGACTCTCAGTTCTTCGCCGTGGACCCGTCCTCCGGCCTGCTGTTCGTCGTCTCAGCTCAGAGTCTCTCCGGACTGAACACCGTGGAGCTGAAGGCCTCCGACCCCCGAGGGCTCAGCGCCACAACCAGGGTGGAGGTGATGTGATATAACAGAATACAGCTTTGTTACAGCAGCCAACGCACACATTAGATTAGATTAGATTACTTTATTGTCATTACATAATGCAAGCAGTGAGTGTAACGAAATGAAGAGGGTCTAACCAGAGTGCAAACAGTCAGT